TAAACTATGGAAACTTTTTTTTTTATTTTTTTTTATTTTTTTTTTATTTTTTTTTTATTTTTAAGATAGTTTATATTACTGAGCAAATTTTATTAGTTTAATATATGAGGTTCTGCATAGGGTTTCCCTATAGTTTATAATTATATGAAGAGTATACAACAAGCTACACATATAACTTTAGTTATTATCTAATTTAAGTAGTCTGCTTTGTAAATATTAGACTACTTGTTAGTACCAGTGTTTAAAATTAGTATACACAAGATGCATATGTGCATGTAGTTTTTTTATGAGCACAAATTTTTTAAAAATTAATGCACAATTATGCATTTAAAATTTAATAAAAATAGTGCACAAAAAATTGTATGCATCAAAAAGTTTTAAATTTTAATACACAAAAATATTATATAATAAACGAGTAATTTGACAAAGTTAAGCTTTTTAAAAAATTGCTATTAGTAAAACTTTATAAAAAAAATTACTACGTAGTTATAAATATTTATTATTCTTGATTTATAATGTATCTAATTTATAAATCGATGATTTTCTAAAATATAATTTGTACTAATAGCTTTAATCGTAATATTAAAAAATAGTATTTATCAGAAAAGTAGATTACGTACATTATTATTATATAAAACTTGATTTTAAACATGAAATCTCAAGCTTTAGCTAGAATAGCTAAAATAAGCTTGCTATATAGATCTTATCAAAGCTATATTTCATTAACATATTATTCATATCAGGTTTTATCTTGTTTCATAATAAATATAAATTAAACTTAGCGTTGGTGTTAATATTTTATAATAATTGCTAAAAAAAGCAAGGTTTAATCTTGATTTTATACCAATATATATTGATATATACACTTTGTCTTATATTGCAATTAATTATATAATTAATTTAGAAATCATATAGATTATATAAAAAGTAAAAAAAATTTTACTAAATTCCTAATAATAATAATAATGTCGCAAAAAAAAGAAAAAGATAAAAATAAGTCAAACACTATTTATGATTTTTTTAGTATTAATCCAAATAATAACAAAAGAAAAAAAACATCTCTAATTCAGAAACACTATTAAGTTCTGATACTGATACAAATTCTAATGCAAATATTGATACAAATATCAATACAACTAATAAAAAAGATCGTTTTGCTAAAAAAAATTTAAAATTTAATTTAAAATAGAAAGAGGAATTTGATTAGTTATGTTATGAAGAAAAAGAAGATGGTAATAAAATGTTTTATACTTGGTGTGAAGCTGCAAAAAAAAAAAATAGATTTACATATGGATGTAAATGGTTAAAACATGATGCTTTAATTCAGCATACAAATACACAGGATCATAGAAAAAGTAAACCAATTTTGCATAATCAAACAACAATTGAATATAGATTTAAGTGTGCAATATCAAAAAACAAATTAGATATTATTCGAATTATGCAATATGTTTATTTTTTAGCTAAACATCATTTTGCTACTCACAGATTAAAAGATTTAGAAAAATTAAATACTTAGCAATTTAATGAAGCAGAAAATGAGGCTTTATTTGGACCTTTTGTTGGTTTAAAAAAAGTACAATCAATTATTGATCCACCTAATACAATATGTTCAGAATATAGTTCATATGATAATGATGTTTCTGCATATGAATTTTTAGAAGCAATTTCATTTGTTATTGAAGAAAGTTTAAGTAATGAAATTCAAAACTCACCATATTGGAGTATTCAAATTGATGATAACAATACAATTAAACAAGAAAAAATGTTAGCTATTGTTTCTAAACATTTATCTAATAACTATTCAGTTATACGTTTTTTAGGTATTATTCAATTAGATAATGCAGCTGCACAACCAACTGTTAATAATATTAATCATTTTTTAACAGCAAAAAAACTTAATATAAGCAATATATTTCATATAGGAAGTGATGGTGCTAGTACAATGATTAGTAAAATTTTTTAAATTATTATAGATTATTATAGCAAAACAAACCACTGTATTTACAAATTTATTTTATTATAGGAAAAAAAAATGGTGTTGCCGCTATTTTTAAAAAACAAAATCCTTTTCTCTTAGAATACCATTGTATTGCTCATCGATTAGCTTTGACAGCCAAAGATGCTACTGAAAAAGTTCCTTATTTTGAAAATTATAATTCAATTATTAATAATTTATATTCTTATTTTAGTAGTTCTTATAAACAAATAATTAATCTTCGATTAATAGAACAAATATTTGATGATCCAAATTTAGTTCTTCTTCAAATTATCAATACTCGATGGCTTTCATTAAGTAATGTTGTATCTAACTTGCATCAAATTTTAAAGTCTGTAAAAACAGTATTAAATGAAGATTCTTCAAAAAATATCATTACACAAAGACTTTATAATGCAATGGATCAAACTTTTTATTTAGCTACTAAGGTAAAAATTGTATAATGTAATATTATATATATATATTAAATTTAATTTTTTTTTTTTTAGTTTCTTGCTGATATTCTTTATGATTTGCGAAGTTTAACAAATCTTTTTCAAGCAGACTATATTACTATTTCTGAGGTTTATACATACTTAAATACAACTATTAATACAATTACTACTCAATATATTGGTCGTAATAGAATTTTACTAAACTATGGAAACTTTTTAAGAGAATATATTAATGAGCAAAATATATTATTTGAAGATCTTTCTGATTTTATTTTACAATTTGCAATTGCAACTATTGAATCTCTTCAAGATCGCTTTCTAGATTCTGAAATGCTAAATTCATTAAGAATTTTTGATCCACATGAATTACCACCACAATATAATCAAATTCATTCTTATAGCAATAGTGAAATCCAAACCTTAGCTAAATTTTATGGAAAACCAAAAAAACTTAATCAAATTGAATATCTAGCACTTATTGATGATAACTTGCTAACTAAAAAATGGGATATTTTTAAGTATCGATTACTGAATTATTTTACTATTACAACAATTTATATATGGAAAGCTCTTTTTGATCTTTCCAATTTTTCTATTCAATTTCCAAATATTAAAAAACTTGTATCAATTTTTTTAGTTACACCTCTTTTTAATGCTATAGTTGAAAGAGTTTTTTCTTAACAAAATTTAATCAAAACCAAATCTCGAAATTGATTTCATATTTCTACTCTGTATATATTACTTTTAATTGCACTTAATGGACTAGAAAATGAGATCTTTGATTGGGAAAAAGCATATAATTACTAGATAGCAAAGGATCGACATATTTAGTTTTTCATTAGAGTTGGAATATTCAATAAAAACCTTTGGCATAGGTAAGTTATTTTATTTATATTGATAATTTAATTTTATTTATTACGAATATAAATTTATATATATTTAAAATGTTTCAACATTTATATATTAGTAAATCCAACTATACAATTTATAGTTTTTCGTGAATTTAGGAATTAGCAATTTGGTATTAAGTTTAAAGTAGTTTTATATGCATAGTTATTATTCAAAGGGAATATAAGTTTTAAATATAGAGATATATATGTCTTAATTGCTAGATATATATATATTTTTTTTTTTTTTAACTTAGGCGATCTTGCTTATCATTTTATTAAGAATAAGCTAATCTAAGCTACAAGTAAAATGCTATACTATTTACAGCAAACTACCTTCCTAAAA